TAATAATAAATAAAGAATAAATATGAAAAACAAGAAATAAAGTACATACCCAGTCTTATTTTTTCTTGTCCTCAATTATTGAGGACAGTTAAGCCTGATTTTTTTATGCTAATGCTAGTAATGCACTTAATAATTTTTTAAATTAAATAATGCACTAAAGAATATAGACTAATAACATTCAAAAAGTAGACAAATTACCCTAACTCTCAAAATGTTTCTGGCTTTCTAACTGTGTAACAAGAGCTGTTACAAATTCATCCAAGCTAGTCGTTACCTTTACCACGCGAACAAATCTTGTACTGTGAGTGAAATTAATGAACACAACGTTATACTATATTCATTTGATAGATGAAAACTTTGACTTTCTATTGGTTATAGGTAATATATAATGAAATGTAAAAGAGAACTATCAATGAATTGTGAAAGACAGGATGTGGCAGGAGGGGTCTGATTTTCTATCCAAGGCTATAAAAATTATGGTTATGAGCAATAACGATTTTATAGAGAGTATTTTACGTATAATTTTGTACTTTTTTTTAGGGGTGGTGGATAAAATAGGGATGATGACATGCTAAGAGAAAATGTGTCACATGGGTAACACTAATGGAAACTTAGGATTTATTTAAATATTGCCTTGTAGGATTAAGAACTTAAAACTTGTATATTATTAAAATATGGATTATTACCTAAGATCTTATGTTATTCTAATTGTTATAACATAAACAAACAATATTTTAATACAATGTTGAATGTAAAACCTTGTGTCATGCACAGTAAAGGATACCCAGAGTGACAGGGTTAAGATACACCAGGAATAGAATAGTCTGTCTTTATTTTAAACATTTCACAAAATAAATAAACACCAAAAAAAAATATCTAATTGAAGTCTTCCTTATCTTGTCATCTAGTTTTCCAAATATCTAGATTAGTGCCGAAATGACATAAATCTTAATTCTTTCTACTTCTTTTAGCATATCTTTCTGTTGAATAAGACACAATTTAAGTATTTTTTTATGAAGTGTATACATTCCTTGAACAATCATAACTGAATCTTAATAAGGTTCTTGTAGTATTTAATGTGAAAAATGATATATATATTTTTTGCTTAAAAATAAAACAGTATTGTAAAAATAAACTCAATCACATGTTTAATTCTTTTTTATCCTTTTTAAGAAAAGTAAACATTGCTATGTTCTGTATTTGTTACTGTTATTATCATCCATTGCATTTCTGTAATAGTATATTGTATAAAGAAATGCCTAGTATTGAAAAATAAGAAGAAAAATTCAATAACATTTACATGTGGCATTTTATTTAATTTTTTCCTCGTTCTTAAGCATCATCAATAATATCTCTTAAAACAAACGTAATTTGTTACCCAGAACTTCCAGATTCACAGCTATATTTAGTGACCAGTTCGTAGCAGGTTTCAGAAAATTCTAAATAAGAAAAATTCTTGTTTCAAATTTATTGTACATTTTAGGATATTGATTTTTCCATATTTTTTTAAAAAATAATAAAATATAAATAAACTCAAAGCTCCTTAACACTTCTAGATATTTCCTGTTGTTTACTTATATACCATTAAGGAAAGTGTATAAGAAAATTCTTTCTTCCTTCTTGATCACTGCTGGATTAGTTACCAAAATCCACATGCAAAGTTGTATTTTTACTTAATAGTTCCTGCAGATGAAAAATTTCATTATGTTACTACTTTTCTACTTTAATATGTTTCCATAAAAAAATGTTAAAGCTAAGTTAGGGTTTTTTAAACATATCTTGTCAATTTGCTTGCACTGTAGATGTAAATGATTTTAACAGTAATAACAGCTTTACATTTAATGTAATGAAATAGTATGAATGAATATATTGTTATTAAATAATGCTTTTTAGTGGAATTTTTTAAATGGTTAATTAAATTTAACTCAATTTTTATTTTTTCTCTATGAAATGCAGGTGGCCAGTAATTTTCAGTCTCTATTTAATATTGAAGAGTTTTAATCAAAAACACTGTATTAAATTATTTATGTGTTTCGTAGTAGTATTTGTACTCCTTCTTTGAAATTGCTCTCAGTAGCATACCCATATATGTTATGAAATAAATTTTTTCTGATATATAAACATATTCTTAGCTTACAACAAAGTGCATACTCATTCTTTTAGAAGAATTCCAAGAACCTACGACTACCAATGCTGAAATAGAAGTGAAAAATGATAAAGAAGCTGTTGATAAGAGCCAAACTACCAGTCAAAATGAACAACCAAAAGTATATTTGAATTTTTTTGGTTATCAATTTGAAAAAAGATCTTTAATTTTTAGAATCTTTGAACAACTATTTTCTCTGCTAGTACAAAATATGTATATTTAGATCCTTAGGATTTTAATCATCAAGTTCTGTAGCATAAATTTAGTGATGTGATTGCAAAGCCATTTTTGGTGTTTAAATCACTGTCAATTGGAGATATCAATTTTGCACTCAAGTGTTTTGAAAAGTAATTGAGGCAGTGTGTAGATATATTTCAATAAGTTTTTAATGCAATAATTGTATTATTTGTTTCAAAATTATTACTTGAATATTCATTTATTGTCAGTTAAATTTACATTTAGAATCAAACTCTTTTTGATGTATTAACAACTTCTTAAATCATCCATAAAGATGGTTCCTGTTTTGTATCTTTGGCATGAAATATTATGCTTATAAAGATGAATGCAAGTGTCATCATTATTTGTATTATCATATTCTTTGGAACGTGTTAAAGATTCATAACGTCAAAACATTTTCCTTTGTTTTGCTTTTGTAGGTAGTTTATCTGGTCAACTCTACACATTTATACACACACACACACACACATATGTTATACACAAACTGATTACAAGGGTTGAATTGAGCTAGAAACAGATTAACAAGTTGAATTGTGAAAGTATAGGGAATTTCATTTTGTGATTCATTAATAAATGAATCAGGAATGACATACTCTGTACATTCCTAATTCAATTTGTTCATCTGTTTCTAGCTAAAAAATCAACCATTCTAATTAGTTCATGTAAAGGCAGCTGTAATAGGGAAATAAAGTATTAATTTAGTTATGAATTTCTTGTAATAATAAGTTGAAATTAAATTCACACAAATCAGCTGTTATGTTTATTAGACTCGTAATACAAGCTTGCACTACAAACCTATAGCAGACTTTGCGATGTATTTAAATTTGCTCATGAAAAATAGATTACTTTGTTTTACAAGTTGTACTCTAATATTCATTTGATACCCTTGATTTTAATAGTTTTCATTTGTTTAGCTCTTCCATTTTCTGTATAAGACCTAAGATCATTTTGAAATCATATTATGCTGATATCATTAGACACTGAATACCCTATTTGATTATATTTTAATAGCAGCGTCCACGATCTCGTTCCATGTCTGAATTGTCAGCTCCAAATGCATTGGCACCACATGAAACAGAAACCATAGGAAGTAATGATAAACGTGGAGAAAATTTGCAGGTCAAATCCACAGATGCATCTTTAAGTAGCCAAGATGCTGAAATAGTGAGCATTAAAACAGATGATAAGAGAAATGCAAGCAGCTACACTAACCCTGAAAAGTCTTGTGACATTCATCTCTCAGTTGTTGACAGCAGTAATAGGATAGGTATGGTTACAGTTAAAAAGTTTATAATTAATAATTGTTTAAACTTCAAATAAGGTTTGATAATGAAATGTATTTCCTCATTCTACCATGTATGTAGAATTCACAGGACATTTTTGTTTTGCAAGATTGTTGGTCTTCATCATTATGAAAGGAAAACATGATCTATTTCCTTGTTTTCAGTTTTATTTTACATTGAAAATCATGCTCAAGAATAATGAAAAGATTAGAAAAAATGGAGTCCATTGTTTACAATGGATGGCCATATTTTCTTGAATAAAGTGAATTCAACATGGCTTTATTTTACAAGGAACTGTAAAAGAAAGTGTACACCAATAAATAAAATCGAGAAAGAAAATGGGATTTATGTTTTTAAAACAAAGTATTTTCTGAAAACATTTGAACTTGAAAAAATGGGGCAAAATATAAGTTAAAACCTTTCCAAAATTAACATAGTCTATAAATAAATTTAGTTCTTTAAAATTATACTTTTTTTTAAATAAGTTAGGCTTAGATGGCAAAGATGATGAAATTTCCTTAAAAATCAGTTTCTAAAATTTATATTATTACTTTATAAGATCCAGTAAAGTAATGCATAAACTTTTAAAATTTAATGATGGCCAGGAAATAATCATAATAGTAGTTAATTTGAGGATATATTTTGATACTTTTTAAAGTTGTTTCCTTTGTTGATCTATTTAGATTTATGATATTTAATTTATTGCTCTTAAATAATGTTTATTAATATTCTAAAAAAGCCTGCTTGTTATTGTTTAACAGAGGCAGTGTGTGAAGAACCTTCTGTAGATCTTGAATGTCGAGAAAAGGTGACTGAATCAGACAGTGAGAGTAATTCAGATAATGAACATCTTATTGAGAATAAAGCATTTCCTCAGCAACGTTTCTCACCTGTTATGAAGTCACTTTTACCATCAGATGTAACTCACAGACCTACACCAATCAGGGTAAGTCCTGGCCTAGGAACTCAGCGTCCAATCCTTCCAGTTGGCTCTTATTTTCAGGCTACAGGTGCTGTATTTAAAGATGTCCAGTCTCCTCGAATGAAGTTGGTAATTGATGAATCATTACCTCATAAAGGTCAAAAGAGTATTAGTGACAAAATACAGCAGTCTCCAAATACAGAAGTAAACAAAAAAGAAGGGGGGAACCATGCATCTATGCCACCTTTGGAACCTTATGTTACTTCTTCTGGTAATGTACTTCATTGTTTACCTGCTACTAGTAACCATGGTCCATTGATGTTTGGTGCACCTCTGAGATCAAAAGTTGTGTTAACCACTACTCAATCTCCACTTAAAGTGACAGAAAACAAAGGAACTATGGATAAAATTCCACAGAAAACAGTTCAGAAGCTGGCTCGAGGAACTGTTCTACCCCCTCCACTTTCTATTCCTCCAATTACATTAATCCCTCCTGGTTCAGATCCAGTTACTGTTTCTTCTACTTCTTTAACACCAAACTTAAGTTCTTCTACACCTAGAGGAAGTTCATCTCCTGGAAATTTAAATCTAAGTCATATCTCCCCCAAACCTATTGTGACAAATCCTGTTTTAACTTGTTCTCAAACCATTATTGTGCCAAACTTTTTCAGTCCTACAACAAGAAATAGCCATTTGCAAAATCAGGTACCATTCCTGAGAACAGTGACTACAGATGCAAATCTTGTATTAAGCCAACTTGTGACAACAACTGCTAAAAACTATGTTAGTACTCCTGTAACACCTCAAACACCATCTACTCCAGGATCTGCAGACACTCCAGCAATGTTTTTATTAAAATCGCGCCAGCTAGATGGTCCAGTGACCGCCATTGCAGCTCCATCAGAACACATCCGGCTAGCATCTCAGGGAGCTTGTCAGACTGAAGCACCTAAGTATCAGTACATCATCCCTTCTGTTCCAATTCAAACTGCTAGTGGAACAGACATGAAAGGTATGACAGAATAGATACAGGAATAACTTTATTTTTAGAACATTATAATTTGTTTTTAATGTTTATATATGGTCTGAACTGACATTTTGATGAGTAAATTGTGAATATTACTTTTGCTTATTGAAAGGATTTTATCAGTGATGTTATTTGAACATCTCAATCTGTACAGTTTTCTTTTCCATACTTTTTAGTTCTTCAGTTAATGAGCTGGATAAAAAAAATATTATTCTTTTCACTTATGAACCCTTTATTACTAATATTGATTGTAATCATTACGATGCAAAATTTGTCTATTTGTTACACTGAAAAAAAATTTAGTTGTTAAAGATACATAGGAACAAAAAATAAAAGGATTAGGAGAATTTTTCTAGTGATATAAATAGCAATGTTATGGTAAATATTTCTTGTGTTTACTTACTGTGCCATTAACATAGCTTTTATTATTGTTTCATATTGCTTTTTCTATCATTTCTTTCTTCGCATTGCCAGCATTGTCTGGAGTTATTTTGCCAGCTTCTGGTGGAGTCCAACTTGGTACACAAAATAGTCAGAGTGGAATCAAAATTATGAGAGGTGGTAATAAAAGGTGAGTTATTATGCAAACGATGCATCTCAACAAAATAGAACTGAGTGTCTATTTTTTGATAAGTAATCTTCTTGTATGGAAAATGTTTATATATATATTATAAATGGCTACATATGAGAACAAAAAAACCATTGCTAATAATTCATAATGCCATCTCCATGTTACTGTGGGTATAAATAAAAGCGTATTATGTCATTTTAAGTTAGCACATAGAATTAATTTAAAGTTTTTTAAAGCATAGGTAAGAATAACTGAACAGATCTTTGCTTTACATCAAGAGTATCTCAGTTGGTGAATATTTTTTTAAAAAATATCATTACATGGTTGGTGAATGAAGAGTTTTTGTTTTTCTTAAAAATGCTATCCATTTTAAATGTGATTTAGTGCAACATGAAACAAATTTTATATTGAAAGCAGATGATAACATTGCTGTATAATCTTTCAAACTAATATAAAGATTCATATTTCATGCAGATATATTTTGACACAACTGGAATAATTACTCCCTTTGAACAACAATACTGGCTTAGTGAAATCTATTAAAAAGGAAGATGTAGCAGCATGCATCTTTATGATCTGAGTGTATGAATATTTTGTGTCAGAAAGGGCTGTTACTTACCCTTCTGAAAGGTGATCAATTTTTGGTGACATCACACTACCTATGAAACACCAAACAACATGGAAATTTTGTTTCGGTAAATGAAATTCCACCATGCTTGCTTATTTGCATATTCAAAATTATTTTGATATAACATACTTATCTCCTGTATATCACATCTTCTAGTCATCCGTTATCTACTATCTACGCTATAAATACCACTGAAATCAAGAATTCTTACTTGTATCTGAGATGATTGGTATTTTAAGTGGTTATCTGCTACCACAGTGACAGTTTTTGTGACATTTATTACTTGGTATGGTTGGTGATAGTAAAATTCTGTCCACTGTTGGCAGATGTCTTTCAATAGCTGGTCAAAAAATGGTCTCTGATAACAGTGCTGTTACTGGAATACTGTATTGTGTCCATTTAAAAATAAAAAAAAAGTTTTTTGCTTGTACCCTTTGTCTTGCAGACTCACTATGATATGTCACTGAATCTATGGAGTTCAGCTTGTCAACTGATGCATCACATGAATGACTAATGTAAATGGAATTTTCTATAACTACATAAGTATCTAAAGAGTGTTTAAGAAAGGTAAAAGTGACCAATCAGTTCATATCTATTCCAGAATGATGTTCTAAAGAAGTATCATTCATGAAATTTTTAAACCTTTTGTATTTTCAAGTGTTTGGTTGGCACACCAATTTAGTAACTCAACAAATACCATTCATAAAATATTGAAATATATATATGTGTGTGTGTGTTTTTTATCACCTTATAGTGCACCCTCAACTCCCCAAGCTAGAAGTCCCAATACCATTCAGAGTATGCAGGTTGTTACTAATTCTGGTGGAATTCCAGTGATCTCATCACATATCCTTACCCTAGCCTCTCCAGGCTCACAACTTCAAGTTCCTGGAGCTACTCAGTCTTCACCAGTTGCCATGACAACATTATCTCCACAAACACATGGAGCTCCTAGATTATTGCTGCCTTCTACAACTAGGTAAGTGTTGGTTTCATCATGATGACTTTGTATTATTTGATTGTGAAGAATATATTATGAGTAGCATATAATATGGTAACACATGTTAAGTTTCTTTCAACTGTGACTTTGCTGTCTCTCCAGCCTGAAGGATTATGGCTATAGTCAAGCTACTAAAGGTGTCATGACTATATATTGCCACAGTGTTCTTTTTCTACTTAATAAAGCTAGAAATAACAGAAATCATGGGTGCAGCTAGATATAATTTTCTTAAAAATTAATACTTGATGTAAATTTCAAATTCAAGTAACTTGTACATATAAATGTTAAGAATTAGAGATGTATTCAAGTTTATAATCATGTAAAATATATATAGTTTCTGCACATATATACAAAGTGTTTATAATTTTGACTCCCAATTATAATTTTGTAATAATTGCCCATGGAAATTTGAAAATAAAGTATAAGCATCTTCATAATTTATATACATTTTAATTGTTCTTGCATTAATTTTCTGTATTGACGTATTACAAGGTTTCAGTTGTCTCCTACGCCTTTGAACAAGACTACTGCTAGGACACCAGAGCAGACCACTGCTGTTTACTTCCAGCAAGTTGCATTATCTCCACAAATAGGTAAAGCATTTTTTATATATCATGATATAAACTTTAACTTTTGTATATTTGTTCTCTTAATTCCAAGCATATTCCCAATTTTGAAGGTTAGGTATTGCAGGATTTAAAACTATGCTTATGTTTGTTTGTTTTTTTCAGTTGAATTGGTAATGAAGTGGTAATTTCTTCAATAATTTTAGCCTACTGTTCCATGTAATATATTTTACTTTATACTTGTGTGGAAGAACTGAACTTTGTTTTGCTCAGCTGAAGTTAGAAGACATGATTAGCTAGCTGGCTAATTCCCCAGGCTAAGTAATTAGCTTGGTCTGACAACAGCTCTGTATTACATTTTGATTTCTGATGTAATCATCTCTGTTTATCACATGCTATCCTGTGTTTAGTTATACTAAATTAGAGTACATAGGATGATGTACAGTGCATCTTATAAATCTTCCACAAGGGACGTATTATAACTGTCAAATAGCACTTCTCTCTTGGTGTGATCAGATAACACTCTTGGCCTTCAGATGTTTCAGTATTATGTCCATGTGGTTAATTATTCTTTTGAGGATTGATATCAAATTTATAGTAGAGTACTACTATTACCCATACCCACCCCCACCCCACACACACACACACATTTGCCACCCTTCACTGCTTTGTGTTTAGGGCAACTACTAGACACAACTCTTCATTATCTCCATTTGAGGTGTTTGTGGAACTGCTATTCTGATTAAGATGATAACCAGATTGTGCTGTACTCAACCAAGGTACTTGGTACGTGAAAGCTCCGTTTTATATTGCTACCATTTCATTGTGTAATTACACTTTTCATATAGGAATGTTTTATGGCATATACATTGAACAAATCCACCATATTCATAATAAGCGTAAACTTTATCTAACAGCTTTTCAGTTGTAAATGTCATTGTTGTGCTTATGCAATCTATGCTTCATAGCTTTTTTATATCTATAAAAACTTGTATCTTGTAGAAATTTTAAGTATTCATTTAAATTTGTTAGCAATCAGAATACATAACAATGCAGTTGCACCTTTATTTTGACACTCTGTATCACCAGTATTGACAATCAATATTCTTGTTTATAACATGTTTTTGAAGTAAAATGCTGTTAAAAAGAAGCTCATTAGGCTTAGATATGATTTGTAGTGCTATTCATACTGTAACATTGCTCTGTACATTGGTCATTTTGCAAATAACCAAAGAGCACAATCCGAACACTTTTCCCAGAAAAATATCCTTTTTTACCAAATGTTCATTTTTTCACAATTTTTTTCAACAAGTATGAATACTATGATTAGTAATTACTAGCACAAACTGCCACCTCCAAGGTGGAGTTTCTGCTAGTAAACCATAATATACAAAAGTTAGCTGATATTGCAAGTGGTGATTTAAAAAAAAAACCTGTTGAATAATTCTACCTCACATTTAGCATCCTAAATGGCTGTTGGATGGCACTTTATGTTTTATTACTTTCTTCTATGCCATAGCATTGTTCAGCAGTCATTAAAATCATAGAATAAATCTTTATGTTTCTTTTGTATTAAGAGGTATAACTCAATAAAGATAATGGCTTACCAGTGTGTGAGAGGTTGAAATATTATCATCATGATACCATACTACGTATCTTTGTGGAAAAAACAACAACAGATCTTTAAACAAAAACTTAATAACATTGTTATATTATTGTACAAGTTTACACGAGTCTGTAAGCACCACCAGTAGATGTACAATATTTTTACCCTTACCTGTACTAACATATCATGGACAATTAAGGAAATTAAGAATATTAATTTGGGATACTTCATTTGATTACAGCTTAACAATTTAAGGGTTTTAACTTAATATAGCCAAGTTGTATCAAGACTTTCTAAAGAAATAAGGAATGGGTTTGAGATAGTAGGATAGAAAATTCTAGATCTGGCTAGCTGAGTTATGGTAATTTAAACTGGTCAACCCTCTCTACTTTATTTTATTTTTATCCTTTCACTTACCATCTTGTCTCTTACTAGTTAATTAATCTGAGCAGGGCTCTTGAATGTTTTCACTAAACAGCAGGAACCACTTTGTGGTATTTATGCCAGTTTCACTTTCATTACACACAGTGCCTGAGTAATTTCATAGATTTGCTTTGGATAACTTTCAGTCATTAATTGAAATTATGATGAATGTTCTAAGCTTACTATATTAACCTTTTGCATATCACCAGGGTGCTAATTAACAAGAAATTTATAGTTCCTGTCATTTTGCTTCACATGCTTTTTGATTTACTGCTGACACATTTTATTTTCCTATTTATATGTAAATTTGTGACATATTATTTGTCCGTTTTTTACTTTAAGATGCTACCCGCGATAAAGTGGCATTAAGGAACTCAAACTTTACAGACTTGCATGGCCAAAGATAATTTTCTGTGGAGTCTTTAACCAAGATGTTGATTTGATTATATAGTCCTAGATGCTATAGCTTACTCATGAATTAATGTAAATTTAACCATCTTTAGCTAACTGCGTAAAATGCCTTAATTGTGAATGGACATTTGTGGAGAAACTTGGACTTTTCTGACCATCTGTTCATAAAACAAGTATATTATTAATATTTTCACCAGTCTGCTAATTTCCAAATTGTCTTCTTATTACAAGACAGTTGTCAATAATCAAGTAGTAAACTTTTAATGAAAGATGCATTTCCCATATTATCTTTTGCAGAATAAATTGAAGTATTAAAATTATTTTATACATTTTTCATGCCTAGAAGACGACTGTGATATATGTTTATATTTATTATTACATATATTTTTTCTTATTAGATGATGCTCCTTTGGCAGGAGGTCAGGTTAAAGTGTCTACACCAATTACTATGAAAACAGTGCCTGTTTCAAGAACAGGCAAAAGTAGCCCAATGGTGACAGTTTTAAACATTGGCCCATATAATACTGTGCCATGTCACAACAGTAATGTACGAACATCTAAACAGAGTCAGTCACCTCAGTTTTTCACAGGTTAGTTTCCAAGTTGTTTGGTTTTTAAAGTAAAATCATTTGTCTGACTGAACTATGCCTTATAATTAAATAAGTTATTTAGTCATTGTAAATGTTTTGTTATTAAATAGTTTTGTTTAAAAAAAATTGGAAAAAGGATAAGTTTTAGAGGTTAATCTTAAAAAAATTGTTTTTCTTTAATTTCATATTTAGTAATTCCATGATTATGTATCTCAAGTCAAATTATGCCAGACAGGGCTATCAGAGTTTACTTAAACTCAATTATTGCATTATATTTCTTCAAGTTTAAGAACTAGTTAAAACAAAATGTTGCCATATGCACACAAGATAAAATATTTTCCCATGAGTCCTGTTGGGTGAGAACATATTATTTTATCTTGTCTTGTGTGCATATATCAGTATGTTTCTTTAGCTAGTTCAGAAACTTGAAGAAATATAATGCAATAATTTAATTTAAGTATAATTTTATTTGTTGTTAATTGGAATTTTGTTTAAAAAATCAAAGTCTGAAAAACAAATTAACTTTTTTAATGCTAGTTTATATGAGCAATTAATGTAGCAAGACGTGACAAAATTTTACTTGAGATTTAAGAATAAGCTGACTTTGTTTTATCACATAACTTTCAAAAATGAAGATGTATTTGGTATTTCTACCAAATACTTTTTGTTTTTAATCATGTAGTTTTAACTTTTCAGTCTAACGAAAGTTATCAAATTTGAAAAGTTATGACAAATCTATATCCAACTAAATGACCACACTCTGTTATGAATGTTTTTTAGAATAGATTTTTACAAGGATAAAGTATAATTATATATACTGTGTTATGTACAATGACTATAATGCATTAGTTGGGTACCTCTGTTATTAATGATATTTTCATCCATAAACCCAATAATCTCTTGAGGCTCAACCAGCCCAGGAGGCTTAGGTTAGTCCTAAATCCTTATACTAAGATAACAATACAGAATAATCATTATAATAAAACATTAAGCATAAAAAATATAATTAGAAAAAATAAGAAATAAATATAGATATATTAAATATTCTAACCAACGCTGTATGTCTACAATTTTTTAAAATTTTCCAAGTTAGAACTACCACACCATGGTAAAACTTATACTTGGCTAACAGTGTGAAATCATCTGTATGATAAAAAGTTTAAATTAGTACTATGAAGTATAAGTATTATAGTAACATAAAAATGCAATTATAAATGATAAAAATTAATAAATAAAAGCAGATATGTTAGATATTCAAATCAACACTGTGTGTCTGCATTGTGATAAATGTTTCATTTGTTCAGGCCAGCATCCAAGTAAGAACTACCACACCATGGTAAAACTTATACTTGGCTTAGGTTTGTCGTATATCCATAAATTAAGATATATATATATGAAATAAAAACAATAATAAAAATAATGTATTAGGTATAATAAACATAATAACCAATACTGTTAATGAAAGTAACTTGAAAGAAAGAATAGAGTATATCTAACTTACTATTATTGCTGGAAAATGAAAATACTCGACTGCCTATAACATTTGCTGACATTGAAAGAGCTATCACTATGAGAACAGAATCGTCATTCCCAGAGCATGCAAGAAACTTGTCACTCTTAGTCATTCCATTCTAAAATAACTAATGGAGATTAAAACCATCAAGCATCACCTTCCCTCAGTTATAAAAATTTTGCTTTCTGCCTCTACTATAGAGCTATATTTACCTGTTAAAATTTATTACTTAGAACAGTGTATTTCATTGGACTAAACTTTCTTGTTTTATTTGTTTGTTTTTTTGTATAAGCAAAATATGTTCAATTTTGATTTTAAATCAATTGATCAGTTATATAAACATGAGAAAGAGTCTGTTTTTCTTGTGCCCCAAGAATATGCAGAGCTAGTAATCTATTGATTCATATAGGAGTGATGGATGCCAAATCTGGAAATCTCAGCATCACAGAAGATCACAATGGGGAGTTTATTTTTCCACGACATGGAAGGAATCAAAAAGTCAAGGCTTCAGTTGTGAATATTCCAGTTGGTACTGAAGCATCTAATACATCTTCTATACAAGGTAGTACTATAAATCAAAATGTTACCAAGTAATAATTTACCTCTGATTACAATAAAATGGAAGTTCATTAAACTCGGGAATTTTATAGTTTCTATAAATCTTCTGGGTCACTTGAAGTTGACCAAAACACAGGCTTTTGAACAAAGTGTAACTTAAATCAAAGCCTGTCTGGTTTTCATAGTAAAATTTTATCTTTTTTAAGAACATTTGAGTTACATTTAAAAAAAAGATCCACTAATAATTATGGTAAAATGATTTTGTCAGGTCTTCATGAAATAAACTCTTATGATAATGGTCAAGCCACATTTTCTGATTTTCTAATATAAACTTTGCACATTTTCTAGAAACAATCCTGTAAAATTTCTCCTATAATTTACAGTGTATTTTTTCTTTTGTAGAGTGAACAAATATGGGTCAGTGTGTTTTAATTTACAAATATCTTTATAATAAAGTTATAAGTTCTTATTTCCTCAAAATCTTGTGTACAGAAGTAACCTTATATGTTTGGGTTCAATGTGAGAATTAAAATTTTTTTTACATAATTGAGATTTGAGAAAGTAGCTTCAATTTTACTTCTTTTTTTCAGAAAAATATCATAAAATTTTAATCTGTCATTAATATTTTTGTTTGTACTATAACTGAAAATACAGTCTTGCAATAATGTTAACTCTCGTAACATAGTCTTATATATACATACACCTTTTTGAGACTTTTCAGTCATAATCTACTATTATTTTATGATTTATTAATGTTCTTGATTTCAAAGTTCTGAGGCATTTATATTCCTGTTTTTGTGAGTTGTAGGTGTATCATTAAAAATTATGTCTACACATTTGTTTACCCTATGTTTATTGTGTAAGCTTTTATCATATATTTTTTTCTGAAACTCTGTGTTCCTAACTCATTATGTCATTAGTTTAAAAATATTTTATACAGGCAAAAGTAATATTTTTTTTCATTTTGTCTGGCAACTAGATGGCTCCAGGTCTCCCACTTCCATGGGTTCTGTTGTGAGCAGGGAAAACAGTGTGTTACAGGAGAACAGCAAAACTTCTAAAGAAGAAAACACATCCAACAAAGAATCTGTTGCTAGTAGAACATTAAAAAATAAGAAGAAGGCAAGTAACTTAAGTTATCATATTTATCTCTTCAGTTGCCTCACATTGGCTCAGCAATTAGTCTGAGGGATTGCAACACTAAAAATTGGTTTCAATACCTGCAATGGGCAGAGCACAGATAGCAAAAACACTACAGTATATGCACTTCATTATTTTTAGTATTGTTTCTGAACCTGTAAGATAACATTTTTCTCAGTAAAAAATGTTCATAGGTATATGCTAGTCCTTATTATACCATGGCTATTCAGTATCTAATGAAAGTTCATGAAAGTTTCCAAAACGTTTTACCAAAGAAAAGTGTTTGGTAGGTTGGATTATAAACTACTGGTGATGGATATGTTCCAACACTGTCAGTACAGACATGTCTGAGTAGTGAAAGTGGTAAAAATAGCCATAGCAGTTTGAACATTTTCCTGTTTGGATTGAAAGGTGTTCCTTTTGTTGATTAATTTAGTAATCTAAGTCATCTTGATAGGCAGTTTTCACAATAACTCCACACTGTGAGATAAAACTGTTGCAATTTTTTAGAATTATTTTGTTAGTATGGAAATTTTTTTTTACTTTTCTCTGTATATTATAATCCTTTTATACTTTCATTTGTTTTTTATAATATTTTTGTTTACACTTATCATTTATAGAATTTTCTAAACTTCAGTTGAAATATGACCACATTACCATAAGTACTTGGTTTGTTTCACATAAGAAAATTATTTTTGTATTTAGTTATCAAAATCAGTGTCAGCTGCAGAAAAGATAGAAGATTCAGAAGAAGTTTTTTGGTCAGCACCAGCTTCGCCATCTCACCCAAATGAATCATCACAGCCAGCAACTAACACTTCTTCCCATCCTCCAGATTCACTTGACCATGGATTCATACTAGCCCCAACACCAGCACAGCTGCGAAGGGTTCCAGATAATCTCCCAGTCACTTCAACTCAAACGTCCAAGGCTATGTCCAGTCAGCCAGTTCGCCATATACTACAGAAGGAAGTAGCTAGTCCAAAAAAAACCGATCCTTAAACGCAATCTGGATGATGGAATGGACAAGTAATTATAGTCTAGCAGTTATATAAATTATGTAGAACTAAGATGAGTTCAAAATAATCAAGATTTTTTGTGTTGTTTTCTTTCTGTCATTGGTAACTGTATAACACTTGAAATGTTGGCAGACCTAAAATAGCACTAACTCACTAGTAATCTTGCAACCGTCATGAGAGCCAGATTTTTGTTGGAAACCAGCTTTACTGTTGTATTTTAGTTACACAGCAACGGATGGTAAACTTGCTATCTGGATGAGAGAGAGCTTTTGGGTGAAACCAGATTCAGTGTTATATTGTAGTCACACAAGATACAGATAATAGTCTTGGCATCTCACAAGAACTAAATTTATTATTATCACACATGATATTGATGGTACTATTTCCAGTTCACCAGAACTAGAATGAGTATTGTCACACACAGTACAGATGGTGGTCGTACTATCAGCTGAAGATTTGGATTTTAATTAGAAACCAGGTAAATGTTCTTTTTCAATTTACACAGTATTCCCAATTACCAGTGACATTAAAAGTATAAACAGAAACCCCAAGCCTACAACATACCTTCTGTTTTCCTGAGGATTAGTCCTTATAAGTTGATGTTTTTCTAAAATTGACCCCACTTGAACCAGTTTAATTTGGCCAGGCATGGCCTGGTGGTTAACACGCTCAGAGTGTGAACCTGAAGGTTCATGATTTGCAACCTATTGTTGCAGAATCATGCTTCACACTTTAGGACTGTAGGTGCATTATAAGAGTGTTGATCAAATCCCACTATTCAATCAGATAAGAGTAACTCAAGACTTAGCAGTGAGTACTGTTGACTGTTTGCTTTCCCTCTAATCTATCAGTTCAAAATTAGGAATAGCTATATACAAGTAGCTCTCTATATAGCTTTGTGTCAACATTCTGAAAAAAAAACAGATGATATTAAAGTTAGTTTTGTTTCATATTCTAAGCTTTATTTTTATTACATTAGTTTCCAAAACTAAAATATTAAAATAAGTAAGATTTCATGTCAATTTACCTGTTTGTAGTATTGATAGCATAAACAATACGATAGAGGAAATCCTTAGCTAGAACTACAACAGAGGCAGGGAAAAAAATCTTTGAGATTGTATATTGGCTTGAGGTAGTAATTTTCTTTTCTTTACAAACTACCTAAGTTACTATATCATTTTTGATAGCATTCTTTTGGATAAGCCTATTCATTAGATGCAGGAAATATATTAGAAACTTATTTTTGCATGATAACAACTACAGAAATTGGTTTCCACAACTTTCTTTTCTTCATTTTCACTATCTTATGGCCTAAACTGACAACCATTTACTGCATTCATTCTCTGGTTGAGTTTGAATGTAATTTGTAAAACAGCTGTTGAGAACAAATTGGTTCATTATAAATGTAATTAGTCTATCAGAATTGTATTTTTCATGTGTTCTATGGTATGCACAGATGAATAAATTTTTCTTGAGTCAAAACCTTTTGTATAATTTTATTTCCATGTTATTTGTTTTTGACTCATAAAAGTCATTGTTTAAATTTGTAATATTTATTTTGTCATACAAAGAGGAAGCTGTGGTATAGGTTAATTGAGATTTAAGTAGTACATTAGAATTATAAATAAAGGTTTCATTTTGTTTGTCATTAAAAAGTTATTTTATCTAAGAGTAAAATAAAGGAGTAAGGTGGGAAACTTATTAAAAGCTGTAAAGGATATGAATATTTCATGATAGTAGAATGTATTCTGATATTAAAGGAACAAAAATTGTTTTAATATTGTTCTGTGACATACGTTATTCAAAGTAATTGTTTCATGTGTTAACTTGTACTTCTACCTTCAAGCCTGTTGCATTCAAAACAAGTTATTTTTACATCCTAGAAGGAACAAAGACATTTCTTGTGTTATTTATCGCTTATAAAGTATCTTTGAACAGTTTTTATTGTGTTCTTTTGCAGATTCAAGAATGTCTTTTGACATTTGATGTCACAAGTATAAGTTTTATAAAAGGTATCATTAATCTGATTGGTAGAAGTAAAGAAAATTTAGTGTCACCAAATTATATATTTTTTGCAGTAAATCCTATCATGTTTTTACATGTTCTAAATAAGTATCGGAAGATTAAAGATTATGTCAGTTGAGAAGTATACACTCATGACTAAATGATGTTTGTTTCCAGGGTTTTAGAAGAAGTCAACTTTGAAGCCAGGTTTGCAGAACTTCCAGAATTTGACCCACACAAGTCTCCTTCTGCCACAGCTTCTGTTCCAAGTTCTCCCATCACTCTTGTCCAAAGTTACTGTCGACAAAGGAAGTCTTCAGGTATATTGTGTACTGTAATTTAAACATGATTTTCATGTGCTAATTTTGAATTTTTATATTAGTCTATTTAAGATAAAGACATGCTGATAATGAGACTTATGAATGGTTAGTTTGGTATTACTTGTGGAATAATCAGTCAAGGAAAAGTTATGCTTGGTATTTGAACGTGATATGAATGACTATATTCTGATGCAGACCAAACCCTTTTTATTCATACTGTATTTGTTTTATGTTTTACATCCATATATGTTTAAATAAAAGACTAATCAACAAAAACTTTTTAAATTTTAGATGTCAGTTTCATTCTTATTGTCACCTTTATGCTGGTTTTGAATGTATGAGGTTTTTTTGATCACCTCACTTATAAAGGTTGAAGATATCAACTCTGATCATGGTAATACTCAAAGGTGGAAGAGTTAATCTCAATCAATCCTGAGCTAATTTCAAACAAATATACTGGTTTTAAATTTATTAATTTGTTTCTATTAGTTTATGCAAGTTTTGACATTCTTAAAAAAACAGGCAGCAAAACGAAATAGAATTTGGGGAGACACCTTATTTGCTATGTTCAAATAGCAGTTATTCCCGATAATTATACACATTTAAAGGGGGCATTTCACTACTAAGTCAAGAGTTGTGATCACATACCGTTAGTGCTTACCTCCCCACTACTGCCATTTATGCTTAAAATTTCTAATATGGTGTTTGTATTGGGGAGGGGAAGAATGGAAAATAATTATCAACTTTACCTGCTACCATGTATATTATTAAGTTTTTATATGAATCAGTAACATGATGATGTTATGGAGATGCAAAGAATACAACTACACATGTGGGCCCCTAATCAAGGGAGAACTGATCACAAAAAAAAAAAGAACTTTGCATAGGGCCCAAGTTGACTAATGAATTTCAGTAATTTACCACTTTAGAAAAAAAACTCCTCCCTAGATAAAATAATTTTTCTGATAATCATAGATTTTGTTGCCCTCTGTGGAATTAATGATGCAATATATACATAACTTTAAAAAATTAATGGTGTTTAGTAATCTGTTGGACTATTGTTTCAGCTGAGATCTCATGTTACATACTTTGTTAGTTTGCTTTATTTAGGTCTGTAAATCTATGCTTTTTAAAATATTATTAGTTAGTACTACCATAATTTTTAAACTTATTTTGTTCCAACTCATTGAAGTTTTCATATAAAAGCTTTTTATGTACAAAGATGATAAATAAATACTGAAAAACAAGAATGTTGCTTTTTAAGCAAGGATTGTTAAAAAAATTAATAGAAATTGTATCTAAGCAAAGTCTTAGTATTTTGTTCCAGAAAGATAGTAGTATCTAGTGCTTTATTAGGCTTATAAATTCAATGCAAATGACCCATACAAATTTTTCTAAAACTATGGTGTTTTCAAACATTAGCTTAGTGTTAATAAACAATAAAGTGGAAAAAGATATAAAATTTGTATGTAAAGTATAATAAATTGTAGGCAAGCATAATTTATTATAACCTCTTAGAAATATTTAACTGAGAGAAATCCCATCCCTGAAATTTCAGAAGGACCATAGGCAACTGTCCCCCGGTGGGACAGCGGTAAGTCTTCGGATTTACAATGCTAAAATTATGGGTTTGACTACCCTTGATGGACACAGCAGATAGCCCGATGTTTCATTGCTATAACAAAACACACACACACCCTGCTGAAGTTGAAAGACTATTAGGTGTAACACGCATTCACTATTAGATGAATGACATCAGTCTAACATGAAAGAATTGCTTTTAAGGAGTTGTTTATAAATGCCGAAGAAAAAAATAAAACCTGCCCAAAGAAAACAATAAATACATAATAACCTTACAAATAGATTTTTAAGATGTTTAGGTTTTCATTAAAGTTATTAAACTTTTTCTACAATTACATTTTGTTATCTTTGTTCACTAAGACAAATTTGTTTTTTTCCTCTAATTACTTTAAACTAATTTTGCTTTTAACACTAGAGTTTATCCTATGATGATTTTTAATCTTGGTATATTAATCATAATAATTGTAACTACCTTGAAATTTGGTTTTAATAGAGTTTTGTAGACTAGATTAATGCATAGTTTTATTATATATATATATATATATATATAATAGTTTTTATTCGTATTTGTGAAACATAAATTATTGAATTAATAATGATTTAATAGCTTCTCTGGAATGGAAACATATATTTGTCATATGATAGATTTAATAAATATTTTTAATTGTTTTTTTTTGGTTTTCTTTATTATTATTTTATGCTACTTCACAAGTTTAATTCTTGACTTATTTAAACAGTTACTACAGAAGATGAGACCAGTGAAGGAGTAACTAAACGAACCACATTCTACACTGGTGGTAAAAATGATCAAAAAACTCCCAAAAGTGCCAAGTGTGAAGGAAATGAATTTTTTGGGCCGAACTTTAGCCTTGATTTGGAGAAAAATTCTTATCTGAAGGGTAATATCCTGTTTAAAATATAAGTTTGCTTAAAGTTTTGTGTAATCCTATTAGTTATGAGACACATTTTTTAAAACATTCTGAAATGCTTTTAAGATATGTTATGAAAAACCAATATCTCACAGGTAGTTTCTTCACAGAACATCTCAGTATTTGTAATGTAATGGTCATCTTATCATACTTGTATATTGAGATTATACACATTTGTTGCTATCACTCCCTTTTATAAGTTTATAGAGGGGCATTACATGTAGCTCATAATGGGGATTGAAAGGAATTGCACAAAACCCAAATAGAAATGCATCTTAAACAGTAAATATTCATTCTGAAATGGTACATTACCTCTTCTCACATAAATAGCTTTTCTTATTAAGTGCTGCCCTCTATTTGAAAATATCTTTTTTTATGCATGCCACAAGTCTTATATCTCCCATCCATTGTAATTGACTGATTCAAATGTATCGCTCTTGCAATTTATCATGCGTCAACCCTCCACCAATAAGAATGTGACATACTCTCATGACGCATGTGACTCCCTCTATTCAATTCTGCAGAATTATCACTTCTCATTTGGCAGTACTCTTGTTCAGACGTTTTTTCTTTTGGTAACTCTTTGTGTGAATCATGATTTTAATAGTTTAATTTCTGAAGTGGGATTTCTTCATTATTATTTTTTTCTTTATATTGAAGAAATCTTTTAATTCAATTTCCCAGTCTATTTTTTTCTCACAATCACATATATTACGTCAAACACTTGTTTGATTTACATAATTCTACCATGAATTCTGAAGTTCATGTTTCCACTTTGGGTGTTATACCTCTAGCACTATTTTCACAGGCTGCAGGTGGGGGAGACCTGTCGTTGGATTTCTCTGTTATTATCCATTGTGAGATTGATTGTTATATGGGTAAACCTTCTTCTCCTGATCTTGCCCCACTAATCCTTCTGAACATGCCGAACTTGTTCGGGCTGATGAAGATTTCATATCCTTTTTATACCACCAGATTTTTACACACATGGTTTCACTGTAGTTGGGATTTAATTGGTCACAATTCCGACCTTGTCCTTGGTACATTTTCGCCTCTTTCTTTTCAGGATTTCCATATTTTTTCTTTGGTGATATGTTTTCGATCATGTATCTGAGACTTTGGAACCTCATGTGTAATCTGTGCATCAAAACTCAACCCTTTCCTCTTTAGTTGCAAGTTTGTCGCAGTTGGAGCCACGACACGCTCTTATTCTTTTCCTGTCCTGGCCCTTATCTACCCATCCCTGTCTCCCTTCCAGGGGTTTCTCATCTCATTTTATTCAAAGTTGATGGGCATGTTGCTTCGGCCCTGTATGTTTTAGTCGGGCTATTTAGACTCTA